CCCCTGATGGTATGGCTGATGTGATTAGGTCCTATGATGATGTCACTTGAATAGATATGTGGACAGAGTTGGCATCGGTGTTAGTCTCTAAGGTGCCACAAGTACTCCTGTTCTTCTTTTTGAAGAAATCTGGAGGTTCCCTCTTGAGGTTGGTAGTTTCATTGTTCCACTGCTTGTCTGTGAAGCCCTATGCAGATAAAATAATTTTATATGGCATCAGCAGTGTGCTAGCCACTTAATTAAATAAATTAAAGTAATAATGCAAAAAATCCACTACTCCCTCAAAGAAAATTAAAAACGAAAACCACAATAGCAGTACTTATACAGACAAAAAATAAGGCAAGATTCTACTATCCTTCCTCACGTTAATCCCTTATTCCTCAAGTAGTCCTGTTTAAGACTACTCAATGCATGTAATTTAGGGTATGTCTACACTTCAAGCTTGAGGAGAAATAACTGTACTAGCTCTGATGGAGCTAGAATGCTAAAAACAGTGTGTAGCTGCAGTGGTGTGAGCAGCAGGAAGGGGGAGTTGCTTCAAGTACATAGCTAGCATTTTAGATGGACACATACTTGGAGTGGCTAGCCCCTCCTGCTGCTGTGGCTACACTCTATTTTTAGTGTGCTAGCTCAATCAAAGCTACCGTGGGTTAGTTACTGTCTACTTGAGCTGGAAAGAGCAAACCCCAAAAGGAAAGTAATGTGAATATACAATTTGTAACGGCATTATCTTAATAAAATAAAAACATGTAAAATGGATTAAGAATATCTGCAGAAATTTCAGGCTACTTATTATACTACCTTTATGTTATTTGTAAACTAAATAGTAGAGCTGTCGATTAATCGCAGTTAACTCACATGATTAACTCAAAACAATCGTGATTAAAAAAATTAATCACCATTAATCGCACTGTTAAACAATAGAATACCAATTGAAATCTATTACATATCTTTGGATGTTTTTCACTTTATATTATTATTTTTATTACAAATATTTGCACTGCAAAAATGATAAACAAAAGAAATAGTATTTTTCAATTTACCTCATACAATACCGTAATGCAATCTCTTTATCGTGAAAGTGCAACTTACAAATGTAGATTTTTTTGTTTGTTACGTAACTGCACTGAGAACCAAAACAATATAAAACTTTAGACCTACAAGTCCTACTTCTTTTTCAGCCAATCTCTAAGACAAACAAGTTTGTTTACATTTATGGGAGATAATGCTGCCAGCTTCTTATTTACAATGTCACCTGAAAGTGAGAACAGGCATTCACATGGCACTTTTGTAGCCAGCACTGCAAGGTATTTATGTGTCAGATATGATAAACATTCATATGCCCCTTCATGCTTTGGCCACCATTCCAGAGGACACGATGAGGCTCGTTAAAATACAATGCATTAATTTAATTTGTGACTGTACTCCTTGGAGGAAAATAGTATGTCTCCTGCTCTGTTTTACCCGCATTCTGCCATGTATTTCATGTTATAGCAGTCTCAGATGATGACTCAGCACATGTTGTACATTTTAAGAACACTTTCACTGCAGATTTGACAAAACGCAAAGAAGGTAGTAATGTGAGATTTCTAAAGAAAGCTACAGCACTTGACCCAAGGTTTAAGAATCTGAAGTGCCTTCCAAAATCTGAGAGGGATCAGGTGTGGAGCATGCTTTCAGAAGTCTTAAAAGAATAACATTTCAATGTTGAAACTATAGAACCCGAACCACCAAAAAAGCAAATCAACCTTCTGCTGGTGGCATCTGACTCAGATGATGAAAGTGAACATGCGTCGGTCTGCACTCCTTTGGATGGTTATCGAGCAGAACCCCTCATTAACATGGATGCATGTCCTCTAGAATGGTGGTTGAAGCACGAAGGAACATATGAATCTTGAACACATCTGGCATGTAAATATCTTGCGACACCGGCTACAACCATACCATGTGAACATCTGTTCTCACTTTCAGGTGGCATTGTAAACAAGAAGCAGACAGCATTATCTCCTGCAAATGTAAACAAACTTGTTTGAGTGACTGACTGAACAAGAAGTAGGACTCAGTGGACTTGTAGGCTCTAAAGTTGTACATTGTTTTATTTTTGAATGTAGTTTTCTTGTACATTAATTCTACATTTGTATGTTCAACTTTCATGATAGAGAGATTGTATTCCAGTACTTGTCTGAGGTGAATTGAAACATACTATTTCTTTTGTTTTTTAGAGCACAAATATTTGTAATAAAAAATAAAGTGAGCACTGTACACTTTGTGTTCCGTGTTGTAATTGAAATCAATATATTTGAAAATATAGAGAATGTCCAAAAATATTTAAATAAATGGTATTTATTAATGTTTAACAGTGCGATTAATCGCAATTAATTTTTTTAATCGCTTGACAGCCCTACTAAATAGGGAAGAGTTTTTACAAAAGCTTTATGCCAATGACTTGCTGTGTGTTCAAGTAGGTTCACTGCTCTGTACTTCAGTTTCCCCATATGGAAACTGGGAATTATAATAATTACATACACTCCCAGGATGTGTTGTGAGGCTCAGTAATGTTTGTAAAACACATGGAGATCCTTGGACAAACAGGGTGGGAAAAATCCAAAGTAACTCCCCTCTTCATATAAATCCCTCCTAAAATCTCACTTCTTTTGTGATGCCCACAAGTTGTGAGTTCATAATAAGTAAATAATAATTAATAACAACAGTTAAAATGAACCTTAATCAATTTCATCTTCTGTATTTTCCACAGAGTTCTGTCTTCTCTATGTCAGTCTTTTAGACAGTAAGTTCACTGGGGGGCAAGGATTGTATTTATCATTGCCTCTTGTACAACATTCAACACATTGTCAGGGGTAAGTATATAACAAAAATAATAATTAACTCTCTTGTACTAGGAATCAGAATTTCAGTGCAAATGAACTGTCAGCAAGTAGTAGTGTCAGCTCTGTGTCTTTTGGTACTGTGTAAAAAGCTCAGTCTTTTGCCACTTAGGTCACCATCAATCCTGCACTGCTGTCCTATGCCCCAAACCCTCAATATCATGCAGCTGACTTTTATCCTGCCCCAGAAGGGAGAGAGTGAAGCAGAAAGCAGAGTGACAATATTGTTTGGTACTGCAGGGAAAAGGATGGAATTGAGCTGAAACGGGAAGAGACATTCAAGTACCGGTTCAAGAAGGATGGGAAAAAGCATTACCTGATCATTAATGAGTCAACCAAGGAGGACAGCGGGCACTACACTGTGAAGACCAATGGTGGGGAGTCAGTCGCTGAACTGATCATACAAGGTAAGTGTGACGCTCTGTACCTTGTGAGAACACTCTACACCTTCCATGTTCATCCTTATAATATGATGGTGTGGTATCTAATGCAAAGTTTGTCATGTCGGGTGTCTTCGGAAGGCTCATGATGTACTGAACATTGTTGTTATGGTAATGTTATCATAATCATTGTTATAGTAATGTTATAGGTTGTAATTTCATGTATATATGTATGAGGCTGAAAATGTGTTCTCATGACTTAAAGCAAGCCCAGGCAAAAACTCCCCAAGAGCAGGGGGACAATTCACACCTCATCAGGGCGTGGATGGGACAAACACAGCCCAGCCTCACAGGAACCACGGACACTGGTCTAAACAACAACAAAGGATTTGTTGGACCCTTGAGTGAGTCACCCCCCCTTCCTTTGGTCAGTTTGGGACTGCGATGAGGTAATGCTCACCTGACTCTGAAGGTGGGGGGGCAAAGCCAAGAGGGAAGAAAGAACATGATAAAAGGGAGAGACGTTTGCCATGTTCTTCCTCTCTCTTCCACCTCCATCTACAGACATCACCACCAAGTGACTGAAGCGCTGATCAAAGGGGAGAGCCTGGCTGAAGGGCAACCAGCCAGCCTGTGGTGAGAAACATCTAAGTTTGTAGGGGCACTGAAAGTGTTAAGATCAGCTTAGAATGAGTTTTGCTTTTATTTCATTTGACTAAATCTGACTTGTTATGCTTTGACTTATAATCACTTAAAATCTATCTTTGTAGTTAAAAAATTTGTTTATTCTACCTGAAGCAATGTGTTTGGTTTGAAGCGTGTCAGATACTTCCCTTGGGATAACAAGCCTGGTACATATCAATTTCTTTATTAAATTGACGAATTTATATAAGCTTGCAACATCCAGCAGGCATAACTGGACACTGCAAGATGGAGGTTCCTAGGGTTGTGTCTGGGACCAGAGATATTGGCTAGTGTCATTCAGTTGCACAATCCAAAGAGCAGCTTACATGCCAGAGGCTGTGCGTGAACAGCCCAGGAGTGGGGGTACTCACAGCAGAGCAGGGTAAGGCTGGCTCCCAGAGTCAAGGATTGGAGTGACCTAGCAGATCACCAGTCCAGATAACACCAGGAGAACGTCACAGTAAGTTACAGGCAATGCCAGATAATCAGGGAGGTTGAAATGTGCAAGAGGGCTGAAGGTAACCTTCTCCATAATGGGATAAGAAGGTGAGTTAGTCCTTATGCCTGGAGAAAAATTAAACCGTAGCTGGGGAAATGACCACAGAGGCCTCAAGGAGACAGAAGATTGTTAGGTCTGTGTGCCGGATGTAATAGATATCCTGACTGCAACAGGTGCCTGGCTACCAGTCCTGTTAAATCCTGCATACTGTGGATTTCTCTTCACATTTCACCTTTCAACAAACAGCATCCTCAGACCTGGCTCTTTCTCTTCTTTAAACGCAACATAAACATTTTACTGTACAAACCGATCTTTGACCTGCTGATGTTTGTGTTGCTTCCTTCCACAACTCACAACCCTAGAGAAGAAGCTGGAAGTGTACCAGAGTATCGCAGACCTGACAGTGAGGGCACGGGACCAGGCAGTCTTCAAGTGCGAAGTCTCCGATGAGAACGTGAAAGGAATCTGGTTGAAAAATGGGAAGGAGGTGATCCCAGATGAGAGGATAAAGATCTCTCATATTGGCAGGTGAGTCCTGCTTCAGAAAGCTTGGACAGGATTGGGTATGACACTAAAGTCCTCTCTGGATAGTGATGAGGAAATGAATATAAGCCAGCTAATGGGAGGCAGCAGGAACCTTCCTCAGCACAATGAACATGTAGCCATTCCTCTCTTCTGTGATCTGCCTGGGTTTGTGCACCACATGTACAATACTGGCATGTATGTAATTCTGCAGGTGTGCGTATAGTATGTTAGTCTATATCTGTACAATGGAGCATCAGCCCAGATTCTCAGCCTTTACTCTGCCTTTTATTTTTGGGGGGGATTTAAATTGCCTAGAGACCACACTGATGGTCACTTTAAAATAGACATAATCAAACAGACTGATACATTAGATAAGGATAGACAGATTTCAGTACCGAGAAGTAAATCTCTTTGTGTTAATTTACTATAGTTTTTAATATATATAGTATATACTCATACACACACACATTTAGATGAGTAAAATTTTTTAAATTACCTAAATTACTTAGGCTCCCAAAGGATTGTTTTGATGTGCTGTCTGCTGAGTTTACAAGGAGAGGGATGGTGAACAAGCCTGCACTTTCTTTGCCATAGTGTTGCTTGGGTTTACAATATCCTTGAGAGGAAACTCGTTCTGTTTGCCCTAGCATGTTGATTTGATACTGGGAAGGTTATTAATGGCTTGCCATGTGCTGCAGCCTGAATGCACTCACTCGCTGTAGCAGTATACCTCCTGACTAAAATTAAGAGAGTCACATGCTTGTGTATATTTTTCAGAATCCATAAGCTAACTATTGATGATGTAACCCCAGAAGATGAGGCTGACTATTCTTTTGTCCCTGAAGGATTTGCTTACAACCTTTCTGCCAAACTCAGATTTTTGGGTGAGTGTTGTGGAATCTGGTTCCTAATATGTAACAGGAATACCACAGGCCTTCCAAAGGAGGAATTATCCATATATAAGGACTACAGGGAGCTGTGGGACCAAATCATTTAATTGATTACACCAGGAGGCTGTATGGAGATTTCCCTTCCTGATGTATGAACATGGCACATGTAACTTCTCTCTGTGATAGTGCATCATCATTATTATTTGTATTGTAGAGCTCACAGCAGATCCTTGCACCTGGAGGGAGCCTTGCACATAGATCCTTTACAGCAGTGGCTCTAAGCCTTTTCAGGCTACTGTACCCCTTTCAGGAGTCTGATTTGTCTTGCATACTCTCAAAATTTCACCTCACTTAAAAACTACTTGCTTACAAAATCAGACATAAAAATACATATGTATCACAGCACACTATTACTGAAAAATAGCTTACTTTCTCATTTTTACCATATAATTATAAAATAAATCATTTGGAATATAAATATTGTACTTATATTTCAGTGTATAGTCTATAGAGCAGTATAAACCGGTCACTGTCTTTATGAAATTTTAGTTTGTACTGACTTCACTTGTGCTTTTTATGTAGCCTGTTGTAAAACTAGGCAAATATCTAGATGAGTTGATGTGCCCCGTGGAAGACCTCTCCATACCCCAAGGGGTACACGTACCCCTGGTTGAGAACCACTGCTGTATGGAGAGGAGTTGGGGGTAGGGTAGTCTCCTCCACTGCACTGTCCTTCCTTTCACCAGACCTCCAGAAAGGCCTCTCTGTGCATCCAGGGTCTCCATTGGGAGAGGGAGTGGAGTCTGGGCAGCCCATCAGATCTTACAGCGATTCCTTAGAAAAATTAATACAGTCCAATGCTGTATTATGTTTTTCGGTAGGGCTCAACTGAGGTATCCCATAAACCTGGGGATCCCATAAGTCTCTAGCCAGGGAAGACCCTGGCAGTGTGGCTTCAATAGAGCCCGGGGTGAGGAAGAACTGAAGCCAGTGTGGAGACACAGGGCCTCCAAGCAGATGGCTCTGGCCTTCAACAGACCTCACTAGGATCCATCAGGTTTGGAGCAAGCCCTGCAGCCTCTTCTGTGTCAGGGGGGATGCCACCTAAACACGGGTGTGGGGAGATATTTCCTCCCCCCCCCCCCAATATTTCTACCCCCCAGAGCGCCTTTCCGTGTGGGTTATGCTGGGAGGTTTTCTTCTTAATGTATGTGCAAAGTGCTACAGGTGGCATGTGACCAGGATTCATCACCAAATTTGGTCTACTGATGGGATCATTATCTTCCCTGGCTTGGGCAGAGTACTGATGGGGAGCACTGGGAGGTAATGACACAGCACAGTTAGATGACTTACACAAGTAAAGTTATTCATGCAAAGTGTTTCCTGGGTTGAGAACTAAAGGACAAAACACAAAGAGGGAAAGGGATAGAAACAAACAAACAAAGTGATTAGGCTGAGGACTGGCACATGATATCTTCATTCCTTTTAATAGACATGTAAAATAGTTTCAAACTGCGTGTAGTCACTCTTAGTTTCTCGTTTCTCTTTCAACCATTGCTTAGTTACAATCTCTATGTATTTTTAACCCTTGCACATACTATTGCTATTATTTTGTTTGTTTTTATCCTAAACATTTTCCAAACTTTTTAAAAAAGTTGCTTCTTTTCTATTTTTATTTTTCTACATTGTTTATTTGTCATTTTATATGGGCCTGATCCTGCAAACACAGACTATAGCTTTGATCCTGCAAAAACTTATTCATCGGGTTACATTTACTTATGCACGTAGTCCCACAGACTTCATGGGTCTACGCACAAGTAAAGTTAAGTATGTGTGTGTTTGCAGGATTGGGGCCTTAAATCACTGCCAATAGGATTACACGTGGGAGCAAAGTTATTCACTTGCAAAAGCCTTTGCAAGACCCAGCCCTATTCTATTTTTTGTGTTATTTTCTTCTTGTTTTACCAAGCCAGTTTCCAAAATATATATTCACCCATTGATTTACATACACTGAGGGATTATTTATTATATTATTTGTTTTAAAATTATTTTTGGTCTGATGATTACAGGAAACTTAGCTATTGTCAGATCCGTTTTTTTTTCCCTTTCCAGAGATCAAGATTGATTTTGTGCCAAGACAAGGTAAAAACAATGTTCATTATTGGATCATGTGAGTAACATCTGAACAAGTCATCTTGCATGCTTTTCAGTAGCAGAACCTCTTCAATTTTTAACATAACATCTGAGAAATGTCTCCCTTTTCCTGCAAAACATTCAAACCATGGTGAAAAATATTTGATTTTCTCCACTTTCGCTACAGAACCCCCCAAAATCCATCTGGACTTCATGGGTCAAGCAGCCCCTGACACTATTGTTGTGGTGGCTGGGAACAAACTTAGATTGGACGTTCCCATATCAGGAGATCCAATACCCACTGTCATCTGGCAGAAAGTAAACAAGGTAATGTGTAGTCTGACAATGTGGCTAAGGCAAAGAGGTCATACCAAGGAATTTCTTCTCTTTTAAACATATGATTTGAATTTCCAATTCTTACCTAAAAACTTTTCCATATCCCCCCAAATGTAGATGTTTCTAAACAAAGACATTTCTAAAACAGCAGCAAAGCAGCACCTGGTGATTTAGTTGATTTTGCTGTAGTCTTCTTGAACAGTGTTCTTTTTCTGAAGTGTTTATTTTCAGCGCGGGGAAAACAAAAGGAAGGAAGTGGATGTGTATGGTAGCCTTTCTGCCCTTCTTTCTCTACTGCACATCAGCATAGTATCTGCATGCCTACGGAGAGGGCTGCCACCACTAGATTACTGTCTTCTCAGGTCACAGGAAACAAGTAAGCCATGGTCATCAGCCCTCCCCACCACGTGTGCCTCACAGGAAGGAAATGTTCTACCGTCTCTCCTTTCCCATCCCAAGTTCTTTTGGTCAGTTTGTGAACAAATGGTACTTTCAACATCCTACTGAATGTCTTAGAAGCAGTAGACTCATCTACACCAGCAGCCAGTTCTGTTGGGCATTCTGCCAATTTAGACCTTGTGAATTTAAAGGATAACTCCTATTTTACCTGGTTGTTGGAGCAATTGCAGGAGGCCAAAATAGAGAAGTATAAAGTAATAGTGCGGACAATGGTACTTACTTCTTTTATGGTATTTGCTGAACCTTTTAGACTTTTCAATCTCTCTTCTTTAAGAGTGAAATGCTACTTCTTACTGCCAGATAAATGTTCTTTTTTTTGTTGATAGCAAAAGGCTGACCTCTTGTGGCAGTCATGAATGCAGTAAAGACTCTAATTCCCAGCACCCACTCCTAAACAAATCATAATGTTTTCCTTTGCAACCCAGAATTAGGAAATTTCCTTCAGTGACAAGATGGAGAGGGAATTCAATCTTCTGAAATATTATCTTCTGATCATCAGTCCACAAAAAAGTCCAGAAAACAGTTCCTAGAAGAACTTTGCCTCTAAAAACATATGCAGACTTCATTATTATTTAAAATTAAAATTATTAATATTATCCCATAAAGGAAGCTAAGACCCAAACCAGTCTTACCCCTTCTCCCAGCTCCAGAATGGGCAGAGAAGAGGTCCCATTTCTTCCCCAGGAACAGTAGAGCTCATGCAGCCCTCCCCTCCCCCCTCAAGCCAAATGAGTTTGTGGAAGAAAATCTTCTGGGAGGGATTACCCAAAAAGTTTGTTTACTTTTTGCAAGAACAGAGTAATGCAGCTGCAGCAGGGAACTTTAGTTGAGATATAAGACATGAGTAGATAAGTAAGGAAGACCGTGAAGGACCATGAGAACAAGAAACTGAATTTGATGCAAAGGAAGCATGGGGACTAGTGGAGGAATTTAATAAGGGCAGTAGCATAACTTCAGATTATCTAGTTTGGCTGGTGTTAAAGGGATGAATTTATTCCTTTCCATAAAAGATGTTCATAAGCCCAATACCCCACTGATACAGAAAGAACATTCTCTATTTTGCACAAATACATAAACCCACTAACCTACTACTTTCATAGGACAGTGACTGAATCACTTCTATCTGTGGCATCTGATGCAGGGATCTCATAAATCTTTGTTTATAAGGCTATGAAACTGATCTTGCTGATGCTTCCTTTAATTCTATCTCACTCTGGGAATGCATTGATGATTCTGGTTTTTTTTTTATCAGTTAATTTCCTTCTCATTTTTGTTCATTTATTCTGATCTTCATTTTTGTCACATCTCCCATGCCAAGCAGCCAACATACCCTGCGTAGATCCTTCTCCTCTGTGTCTCAGACCCAGCTTGACCAACTCTGCTCAATGAGATCTTTCTGACTCTTCATACAATCATAGAAGGGTAGGACTGGAAGGGACCTCAATAGGTCATCTAGTCCAGTCCCCTGCAGTCAAGGCAGGACTACGTAATAACTTGACCATTCCTGGCAGGTGTTTGTCTCACCTGTTCTTAAAAACCTCCAATGATGGAGATTCCACAACCTCCCTGGGCAATTTGTTCCAGTGCTTAACTTCCCTGACAGTTAGAAAGTTTTTCCTGATGTCCAACCTAAACTGCCCTTGCTGCAATTAAAGCCCATTGCTTCTTGTCCTATCCTCAGAGGTTAACAAGAACATATTTTCAACCTTCTCCTTGTAACAACCTTTTAATGTATTTGAAAACTGTTATCCTGTCCCACCTCAGTCTTCTCTTCTCCAGACTAAACAAACCCAGTTTTTTCAATCGTTCTTCACAGTCATGTTTTCTAAACTTTTAATCATTTTTGTTGGTCTCTTTTGGATTTTCTCCAGTTTGTCATCATCTTTCCTGAAATGTGGCACCCAGAACTGGACACAATTCTCCAGCTGAGGCCTAATCAGTGTGGAGTAGAGTGGAAGAATTACTTCTCGTGTTTAGCTTACAACACTCCCTGCTAATACATCCCAGAATGATGTTTGTTTTTTTGCAACATTGTTATACTGTTGACTCATATTTAGCTTGTGATCCACTATCAGCTGCAGATCCCTTTCCACAGTACTCCTTCCTAGGCAGTCATTTCCCATTTTGTATTTGTGCAATAGAATGTTCCTTGCTAAGGGGAGTACTTTGCATTTGTCCTTATTCAATTTCATCCTATTTACTTCAGACCATTTCTCTAGTTTGTCCAGATAATTTTGAATTTTAATCCTATTCTCCAAAACACTTGCAACCCCTTCCAGTATTGGTATTGTCTACAAACTTTGTAAGTGTATTCTATAGCCATTATCTAAATCATTTATGAAGATATTGAGCAGAACTGGACCCAGGACCTATCTCCGAGAGACCCTGCTCAATATGCTCTTCCAGCTTGACCGTGAACTACTGATAAACTACTCTCTGGGAACAGTTTTCCAACCAGTTATGCACCCATCTTATAGTAGGTCCATCTAGGTTGCATTTCCCTAGTTTGCTTATGAGAAGGTCATGCGAGACAGTATCAAAAGCTTTACTACAGTCAAGATATACCACATCTACTGCTTTCCCTGTATCCACAAGGCTTGTTACCTGTTAAATTAGGTTGGTTTGACATTATTTGTTCTTGACAAATCCATGTTGACTGTTACTTATCACCCTATTATCTTCTAGGTGTTTGCAAATAGATTGCTTGATTATTTGCTCCATTATCTTTCATGTATTTCTTTGCTCATCTAGAACAGCTGCAATGTGCTAAGCAATGCTGAGTCCATGGATTCCCCAAACTCCAGCAGTGATTTAAGTAATGAGAGCAAGGTAAGTTCCTTACTATTTATACAAACCCATAAATATATCTGGTGTATTTACAAACAAATGGTCCTGCCTAGAGGAGCTTAACATTTAGAGTATATAGGAACATAGTCATTAACATAATGGATCAGACCACCGTCCATCTAGGACGGTGTTCTGCCTTACAGTGGCAATTATCAGATGCTTCAGAGGGAGGCACAAGAAACCTCTTAGTGGACACTTATGGAATAACCTGTCTATAGGGCAAGTTTCTTCCTAACCACCATTGTTTAGTGATGGACTTTTGCCCTGAAGCATGAGGGTTTGCAACACTTCTAAATATTCTTTTAAAATTCTGTTTTACGTAACTCTGGATACCTAACCCTTTTTTGAGTCTTACTAAAGATATCTAGGGGAAGAGATTAGTTGGATGCAAAGAGAGATGACAACAGGTAAAGTGATGGGAATGTGAAGGATGCACTACAAGATCATGGAGGCTACCTCTTTTCACATTAAGTCCCTTTTATCCTGCATTAATTTTTGTTACATTGGTGTATGTGTGGTAGTCAGTCAGAAGAATTATTTTGCTATTTGTATTACATTAGAACTCAGAGGCCTGGGTCAAGATTAGGACCCCATTGTTCTAGGTGCTATACATACACATAGGTCTTGGACAGTCCCTGTCCAAAGGGGCATAGAGTCTAAAAATACAAGGATGTGACACAGGAAAAAGGAAAAGGATACAACAAAGTGGTGATGGTTATGCTTAGACACGTTAGCGCTGATTTCCCCCCTTTCCCCTAAGCCAAAAAAAGAGAAAAACACAAAATGGGAGAACAGGCAAATGGTCAAAGTATTTTTAATTAAGTGATGGGGGGGGGGTGATGTAGGCATCCAAGAGCCCCGAGGATGAGGAGGTGGCAGTAACAAAAATGGAAGATGAGGGCTCTGACAAGGGTTTTAGTATTGTGGATAAAAACAAAAGGTCAAAAGTTCAGATCTTAGAAATGTCAAGGAGGAAGAAGCAACAAGATTTGGACACAGACAAAACGTGTGGGCCAAGGGAGAGACAGGAGCAGAGGAAAATTCCCAAGTCACAAGTTTGAGAAATGCAATAGGGTCTTTTTAACTACCAATGGTGCTTACAGCGCTTTAAAAACCAATTTCTCCCCAAAGGAGAATGTTCCGAGCTGTTAATGGCCTCCCACTGATGTCCTGTTGTTCCTATACAACAGAACCTTAAAATAGAATAAAACTTCATCGATAGCTTTTCAGTGATACTGGTAATGGTCGGTGTCAGAAAGACTTACATGTTGCTGCAGACTCAGCGTGTTTATGCAAATCCCTGTTCCCTTCATTCAGACACAGCATTAGGCTCTCCTGTTTCCACCCTAGATACAAATGACTTCACTTGATGTTTTCAATGCCCACAGCTTCTCTCTGAAACTGAAGGTAGAGTTCGTGTAGAGATGCATGAAGACCACTGTATCTTCATCATTGAAGGAGCAGAGAAGCCAGATGAGGGGGTTTATAGAGTTACAGTAAAGAACCCAGCAGGAGAAGATAAGGCTGATATCACAGTAAAGGTTATTGGTAAGTGACGGACAGGAATAACCAGTCTCTGAAAAACTCCTGAGTTCAGTGGGACGGACCTACCCTCATTTCTGTAAACCTGAGAACAGCTCTGACTGTGAGTTCAAAGAGGTGAAAAATGACCATATGAGAGGAATAAGTTTCATAAAACCTGACAGAAATGTTTAGCTTCCCTTGTATTCCCCATCTGGGAGGAGAAAGAATCATTCCTAAATCTTAAAAATTAGGTTATATGAATATCCTTCCCTTCCATTTCCCTACATTTTTGAATGTCAGTGATGCAGTCTCTTCTCTCAGTGGGGTTGATATGTATATAGAATGAAATCACTTTTTGCCATTTTGTTGTGTGAGTTTTCTAACAGAAACGACTTTATTATATGTATGGTAAACAGTTAATGGAATAAAGGGATATGTACATATGGTATAAGATATTAAAAAGGACTGGAATTATTTAGCCTACAAAGGAGAAGAGCTAGAGGGGAGTTTGACTGAAGTACTCTAGCTTATGATGGGTGTTGTGAAAATCAATCCGCTCCTTCTTTATATCCTGGCCTGCATTATCAGAACAAGGGCAAACTGAACAAATTTAGAAGTGATAAAAGGAAATGTTTTTTGCATGCTGAATTGTAAACCTTTGTAGTTCATTGCTGTATGAGGTCATCAGGACAAATACTAAGATAGGATTTACAAAAGGTAGAAGTTCTTTATATTATTAATTTCTGTTCTTAAATAAGGTAGAACAACATACATGCAGCCATTGTATTACACATATTAACTAACCTCACTTCCCAATCATGCCTGGCATCCCCTGGCTCTCTCTCCACGATATGAGCATTTCTTGGAGAGCACAAGAAGTTTGGTTTGAAGCTGACTAGTGTCTACATCAGTGCCTAGTCCAATCTGGTTTTGAAGACCCTAGATGTAATCTGGGCAAGACCACCATTTTCTGCACACAGCAGGCTCTGAATTAGGATAATTCACCAATCCTTGTGAAATGCAAGGACCTTGCAGATGTATTTGATAAAAATAATACTGATGCTCTGCCCCCGCATAGGTCCTATGACTGCCCCATAGACCTCCAGCTAGGGGCCAAAATCCCCTTTGTGCAAAATTTATCCAATCAGAACCCTGAACTCAGGTTCCTATGGGAGTATCTTGATGAAAATCTGGCAAAGAATTTTATCCATCTGTCTGTGTCCCCCACTGCGGCCCCAATCCTGTTTTGTCAAAAAATGGATGGCACCAGCACCTCTGCATATACTATCGAACACTGAACAATATAACCATCAAAAATAAATATCCCTTGTCATTGATCAACAAAGAAATAGAAAGGGTCAGCTCAGCAAAAATTTCCACTAAAGCACCTATCACATGGTCTACATCTGAGAGGGTAATGAATGGAAAACAGACTTTCGTACTTGGTATGGGCTTTTTGAGTACTTCATGATGCCTTTTGGTCTCTGTAACATCTCCGCCATGTTCCAGCATTTGATTAATGATATCTTCAGGGAGGTTCTGAACCAGTTTATCATAATCTATCTAGATGACATTCTTATTTTTTCAGAAAATCAAACCTTGCATCACCAGCATGTCCGGTTGTTACTTGAATGTCTTTGAGCAAATGGCCTATATAGGAAGCCTGGGAAATATGAATTTGATCGCGCTGCTGTGGACTTCTTGGGTTATACCATCTCTCCCAGTGGAATAAGTATGGATCCCAAAAAGGTTTCTGCAATTTTGACTTGGGCAACTGCCAAGAGCATTTGTGATATCCGATGCTTTCTAGGATTTGCCAGCTTCTAATTCATCCAAGGGCTCTCAAAAGCGGTGTTCCCAATTACCCAGCTGCTACAGAAGAACTCTGCTTTCAACGGGACACCAGAAGCCCAACTGGCTTTTGATTGGCTGAAGAAAGCATTTACTTCTGCCCCTGGGTTAGTATACCAAGATGCAGCTAAACCTTTTTGTTGTTGAAACAGATGTTTCCAATTATACAATCAGGGTAGTATTATCTCAACGATGTGGTCCTCAAATGACCTCCACGCTTGTGCCTTTTATTCTAGGAAATAGACACCTGAGGAACAAAATTACCAAATGTACGATAAGGAATTACTGGCCATCAAGGCTGCATTTCAGGAGTGGCATCACCATCTAGAAGGTGCGCGCTTTCCAGTCAATGTGTTCACAGATCATAAAACATCTCTGAATGCCACAGCCCACAACCAATGTCAAATATGCTGGTCCCTCTTCCTTACTAGATTTAACTTCACCCTGATCTACTGGCTCAGAACTCGAAATGGTGAACTCAGTGCATTATCCTGCAAGGGGGAGTACCTAGATAAAGGGGATAACGCTCTCGAAATATATTGAAAGCCCTGCCATTTTGTGAATGTGCTTCAACATTGATCTTTTGGCCTTGTAAAGTCCTCACTGGTCAGTGATCTGCTTTCAGTGAAATAGATGTCAGCCAATTCTGACCCAAACTTCCCAGTCAGTCAAAAACAAGTTAGTCTGGTTCAAGGATTGCCTGGATCACCCCATCTAGCTGTACTCTGGCTATGCCACAATTCCCAGCTGGCAGGCCACTTTAGGTACTGGAAGACAAAGAAGCTGATTTCTCACAATTTTTGGTGGCCAAAACTATTCTCCTCCATCAAAGCTTCCTGTGAGACATGCAGCTGGATGAAGATCCCCCTACCAAGCCGCTGGGTGTCCTGATCCCACTTCCACCCCTATCTCAACCTGGGGCCTCAATATCATAGAATCAAAGAAGATTAGGGTTGGAAGAGACCTCAGAAGTCATCTAGTCCAACACCCTGCTCAAAGCAGGACCAATACCAACTAAATCATCCTAGCCAGGGCTTTGTCAAGCCGGGCCTTAAAAACCTCTAAGGATGGAGATTCCACCACCTCCCTACGTAACCTATTCCAATGCTTCACCCCCCTCCCAGTGAAATAGTTTTTCCTAATATCCAATCTAGGCCTTCCCCACTGCAACTTGAGACCATTCCTCCTTGTTCTGTCATCTGCCACCACTGAGAACTGACTAGCTTCATCCTCTTTGGAACCCCCCTTCATGTACTTGAAGGCTGCTATCAAATTCCCCCTCACACTTCTCTCTTATGCAGACAAAATAAGCCCAGTTCCCTCAGCCTCTCCTTATAAAGCATGTGCCCCAACCCCCTAATCATTTTCATTGCCCTCCGCTGAACTCTCTCCAATTTGTTCACATCCTTTCTATAATGGGGGGCCAAAAACTGGATGCATTACTCCAGATGTGGCCTCATCAGTGCCAAATAGAGGGGAATAATCACTTCCCTCGATCTGCTGGCAATGCTCCTTCTAATGAAGCCCAATATGCCGTTCGCCTTCTTGGCCACAAGGGCACAGTGCTGACTCATATCCAGCTTCTCGTCCACTGTAATCCCCAGGTCCTTTTCTGCAGACCTGCCGTTTAGCCAGTCAGTCCCCAGCCTGTAGCAGTGCATGGGATTCTTCCATCCTAAGTGCAGGACTCTGCACTTGTCCTTATCGAACCTCATCAGATTTCTTTTGGCCCAGTCCTCCAATTTGTCTAGGTTACTCTGGACCCTAGCCCTACCCTCCAGTGTATCTACCTCTCCCCACAACTTAGTGTCATCCGTGAACTTGCTGAGGGTGCAATCCATCCCATCATCCAGATCATTAATGAAGATGTTGAACAAAACCGGCCCCAGGACCAACTCCTGGGGCACTCCACTTGATATTGGTTGCCAACTAGACATTGAGTCGTTGATCACTACCTGCTGAGCCCGATGATCTAGCCAGCTTTCTATCCACCTTATAGTCCGTTCATTCAATCCATACTTCTTTGACTTGCTGGCAAGAATACTATGGGAGACTGTATCAAAAGCTTTGCTTAAGTCAAGATATATCACCTCTGTTCAACGCTTTCCCCATATCCGCAGAGCCAGTTATCTCATCATAGAAGGCATTCAGAATGGTCAGGCATGACTTGCCCTTGGTGAATCCATGTTGACTGTTCCTGTTCAACGTCCTCTCCTCCAAGTGCTTCAAAATGGATTCCTTGAGGACCTGCGCCATGATTTTTCCAGGGACTGAGGTGAGGCTGACCGGTTTGTAGTTCCCCAGATTCTCCTTCTTCCTTTTTTTAAAGATGGGCACTACATTTGCCTTTTTCCAATCGTCCGGAACCTCCCCCGATTGCCACGATTTTTCAAAGATCATGGCCAATGGCTCTGCAATCACATCAACCAACTCCCGCAGCACCCTCGCATTCATTGCATGCGGCCCCATGGACTTGTGCCTGTCCAACTTTTCTAAATAGTCCTTAACCTGTTCTTTCACCACTGAGGGCTGTTCACCTCCTCCCCATACTGTGCTGCCCACTGCAGCAGTCTGGGAGCTGACCTTGTCTGTGAAGACTGAGGCAAAAAAAGCATTGTGTACTTCAGCTTTTTCCACATCATCTGTCACTAGGTTGCCTCCCCCATTCAGTAAGGGTCCCACAGTTTCCCTGACCTTCCTCTTGTTGCTAACATACCTGTAGAATACTTCTTGTTACCCTTCACATCCCTTGCTAGTTGCAACTCTAATTATACTTTGGCCTTCCTCATTACACCCCTGCATGCTCAAGCAATATTTTTATACTCCTCCCTAGTCATCTGTCCAAGTTTCCACTACTTATAAGCCTCCTTTTTGTGTTTAAGCTCACCGAAGATTTCTCTGTTAAGCCAAGGTGGTCACCTGCCATATTTGCTATTCTCTCTGCACATCGCCCTCAATAAGGCTTCTTTAAAATACAGCCAGCTCTCCTGGACTCCTTTCCCCCTCATATTAGCTTCTCAGGGGATCCTGCCCATCAGTTCCCTGTGGGAGTCAAAGTCTGCTTTTCTGAAGTTCAGAGTCTGTATTCTGCTGCTTTTCTTTCTTCCTTTTGTCAGGATCCTGAACTCGACCATCTAGTTGGATCCTCCAGCACTTGCACCAGGAAGTTGTCCCCAACACTCTCCAAAAACTTCCTTGATTGTCTGTGCACTGCTGTATTGCTCTCCCAGCAGATGTCAGGGTGATTGAAGTCCCCCCTGAGAACCAGGGTCTGTGATCTGGAAACTTCTGTTAGTTGTCCGACGAAAGCCTCGTCTACCTCATCCTTCTGGTTTGGTGGTCTGTAGCTGATACCCACCACAACATCACCCTCATTGCTCTCGCCTCTAAACTTAACACAAAAACTCTTAACAGGCTTCTCTCCAGTTTCATACTGGAGCTCTGAGCAATCATATTGCTCCCTTACATACAGTGCAACTCCTCCACCTTTTCTCCCCTGCCTGTCCTTCCTGAACAGTGTATACCCATCCATGACAGTGCTCCAGTCATGTGAGTTACCCCACCAAGTCTCTGTTATTGCAATCACAGTTCCTTGACTGTGCCAGGACTTCCAATTCTTCCTGTTTGTTTCCCAGGCTTCTTGTGTTCGTGTACAGGCACCTACGAGAACTAGACTATTGCCCTACTTTCTCAGTATGAATCAGGAGGCTTCCCCTGTTGCACCCTCCTCCTTGTGTTTCCTCCTGGTATCCCACTTCCTTCAGGGCTTAGGTCACCATCCTCCAGCAAACCTAGTTTAAAGCCCTCCTCACTAGGTTAGCAAGCATGCCTGCGAAGATGTTCTTCCCTCTCTTCGTTAGCTGGATACCATCTCTTCCTAGCAATCCTTCTTCCAGGAACAACATCCCATGGTTGAAGAATCCAAAGCCTTCTCTCTGACACCACCTGCGCAATCACGCATTTACCTCCACAATTCGATGGTCCCTACCTGGGCCTTTTCCTTCAACAGGGAGGATGGACAAGAACATGACTTGCGTCTCAAACTCCTTTACTCTTCTTCCCAGAGCCACGTAGTCTGCAGTGACCTGCTCGAGGTCATTCTTGGCAGTATCATTGGTGCCCACGTGGAGAAGTAGGAAGGGGTAGCGGTTAAATCAATAAATAGATTTAATCACTGACTGCCCCACTGCTCAGGGCTGCACAGCTACACTGATCGTCGTCAACCTCCACACCAAAATGGTGCACTTTTTGCCTTCTCAGAAGATCCCCACTGCACAAGCAATGGCTCACTTATTTTTCAACCACATCTTCAAGCTCCATGGGTTACCAACTGACATTACACCGAACTGTGGGCCACAATTTGTCTCCCATTTTTGGAGAGAATTGTTCAAACTCCTGGAAGTTACTCTACACATTTCCTCTGCCTACCACCCCCACATGGATGGACAAACAGAACGGATAAGCCAAATTCTAGAAAAATGTCTTCACTGATTCATCAACATGACTGGGTCAGGCTCTTGCCTTTTGCCGAGTTTGCTTACAATAACTCTGATCACAAATCAACCTGCCAAAGTCCCTTCTATTTCAATTATTGCTTCCAGCCCTGATTTCATCCATCTGTACTGCCAGCCTCCCATGACCCTGTGGCCTCCAATTTGGCTGAACATCTCCACTGCATTCAAAAGGAATTAAAATCACACAAACTCAGCCAAAGAGGACTACAAACAATACACTGACATTCATCAACAGGATATGGCTCTCATCCCAGCACTTTGACACCTCCCAACCCTCAAGGAAACTAAACTACTGTTATCTTGGCTCATTCCAGATCATTCAACAGATTAACCTGGTGACCTTTAAGCTCCAGCTACCGCGTACCATGAAGACATCCAGTATTCCATGTTTTCTTGTTAAAAATATGTGGATAACTTCTTTCCTAGATACACACAACCACCTCCACTCCAAATCTCGATTCAGGAACAGGAAGAATATGAGGTGAGACAGAACCTAGCCTCTATACTCCTCTAAGGACTGGAAGGGAATAGCCCAGATGATCGTTCATGGGAACCAGACTGTAACATACATGCACCCAATGTGCTTCATGAATTCTATCAATTGCACCCAGACAAGTTGGGTCCAAAGGCATTAGGGAGGTGCCCTCGGGAGGTAGGGGGACACACAGTAATTGAAGATGGTGAGTCACTCTTGTATTGGGCAGGTATATAAACCCCACAGGAGGAACAGTAGTTCAGTCAGCTCAACATCACTCCAGGACTTAGAACTCTCTCCTGCCTGACGATGGTAACCTACTCCCCAAACCTTAGCCTCTCCAGCCTTGCTCTTGCTTCAGCCCTGTTCCTAGTCCTGCTCTTACTCGCATCCTGTTCCAGCCTTGCTCTCACTCCAGCCTTGCTTCCACCCTGCTTTGGACTCCTCATTCCAGCTCCTACCCTGGCTCTGACCACTAGGCTTAACAGCTCCAGCAACTAGGCCTGATCATCCCCATCATGGTGTCCGACACAGAAGACCCAAGAAATGGGAGCCATGTCAGATTAACTCATTTCCTAACAGGTGGAATTTAGGCACAATACTCCTGGGGGAATTCTGTGCCAAAAAACTAAAAATTCTATGCTCAATATTTTAAAATTCTGCAAAATTCGGCATATTTTATTTGTCAAAATAACACAATATAATCACACCAGCTACAATTATTTTGTTAATTTTATTTCAAAATATGTTTGTCAGCAAGTATGTCTGTAATAATAGAGACAACAAAAAAGATTCAGGAAATGTTTTTTTGACAAACAGATTCCTTACTGAGCATATTAATACAGAACTTTGAGTAATTTCATTTAAACTACAATACAGAAATGCATTTTCTGAATCCCCCAGAAGCAGTGCAAAGGCTTGTGGGAGTCAGAGGTAATGGAGGAGTTGAGGGAGAGGGAAGTAATTGCTGGGAAGGAGGCTGGGAGTGAACCTGGAGGGCTGTTGGGTGTGGGTGGAACAAGTATGGAACGGCGTTTTTTTTGCAGGGGAGAGATTGTTAGGGAGTTGGGGAGCCTCCTCCATGCAGACTCTGGCTGACCCACAGCCTCTCCAATACAGTCAGGCACATCTGCCCCTGTCCCATGTGTCACTGCACCACCCTTCCCCCTCATGGCCATGTGTCCCTGCATCCCCACGCAGCCATCCCCCCTCCTCCCAACATGGCCCTGCACCCCCACTCCCATTCAGACCCTGCCCTAGTCTGTCCTCCCCACTAGCCCTTTTCAACCCAGTCTATGTGACCCCCCAGTAGCCCCATGTTCCCTGCTCTGTCTGTCCCCTTCCATATCCCATGCCTTCTCACCTGTCCCCATGGGCAGGGCTCTGTGAGGAACCCAGCCTCTCTTCCTCCCTATCAGCTGCAGACTGCTATGGCTGGTGAGCCTGCTTCCCTTTGTTTTGGCACCACAGCATCCCCTGCTGGGTGAACAGTGTAACTGCAGCACCTCTCCAGCAGAGAAAAAAAAATTTGTGGGGGACAGAAATTCTGTGCATGTGCAGTGTTGCAGAATTCCCCCAGGAGTAGCAAGAGGCAGCCTCTCTCTGCAACAGCTCCCTCTGCCTGACAAATTATGGAACAACAATGATGCGTCTCAGGAATGCACCTATTCTGCAGGCCAGAGGAAACATGTTATGACTGCAGCTGTCAAAACCTTGGTGGGGTGTGGGCAGATTATATAGACTGCTATCCAGCTAAAATTTTGTATTTCACAAAGATGTATCTATGTATGTACAGATTAAGAAATATGAATAATCAAACATAATTTAAAGTAAAAGCAATCTAACCTAGAAGCATCAAAGAGCAGGGCTCAGTCTGGACTGAGGTAATGACTTATACTGTATCTGGTGCTTAGATGCTACAGATCTAGGTCTGCACATTAGAAATACCACAGACAGTGTCTTCAAAATGAAAGAGGAGGGATCTCTCAATAGGTTTGATTTGGTTGTGCAGATATCCTTTAGATATATAATGTTGAAAAATGCTAAACAAAAATGTTTAGTAACATAGCTGATGGCAAGGGTAACAATTTTGAGACTCCCTCTCTCATACAATCTTTAGATGTTCCTGATCCTCCAGAGGCTCCCAAGATCATCGATGTTGGAGAGGATTACTGCACAGTACAGTGGCAACCCCCTAAATATGATGGAGGACAACCAATACTGGGTAAGAGTTGCTAAAAAGACAGAGTCCTCAGCAGACTCATCTATACCAGTTACTGGCCCTTTAAAATGAGACCTGGGGACCTTTATCAGCCTGTTCATACAGAAATCAGAGATGCTGACTCTTAAAACTGAGAGATGCACACTACTCATTCTCAAGCTATCGGAATCCTGGCCCTTTAATCTTAGGGGCAGAGTGCCCCGTATCTGCCCCATCTAAATCAGGGACACATTTCTCTGACAGAGGTAAGTCTGTGTTTGGACAAAGGCACAAATGGGAATGTCTAGTGTCAAGGCAGAAGGAAAATAAAGTTAGACATTCCCATTCCAGACTCTGAAACTTTGCTGAAGTCTATAGGGTCTGGACTTGCTTGAGTTTTCTTGTTTCAGTACAGTCCAACCTTTATGAAGCCTTATGAGAAGCACTGGAGCTATGGATGATCTACTATATTCCTCCCTTTTAACTCCTCGTACTATATTCTAGGAGAGTAGAGTTTGTATTAGAGCTTCGTTTTTTCCCAAAAGAAAAGAGTAACTTCTATAGGAGTCACTTGTACCCTGTGCAGGAATAATAGGACCTGCAAAATGTCCACTCCAGCCACCAAGGAGTTAATAGCTTAAACTATTAGATGTGAAGAAATAAACCAGTGGTGGCCATGTTGCTGTTTTCAAAAGCTCACAAAATAGTTTGAAAAGATCACGCCAATGGTTCAGTTATGTGGAGCTCTTTTGGGTTGGGTCGGGTCACTTAAGGATTGTTTTCAATCCCTAATGAAAGTTTTAGCTAATATCATGTCAAGGATTTTGCTATCAGCAGAACTAGAACAAAAACTGCAAATACTATGTTTAGTGATAGTTAAGGTTGCAGCAGAATTCACTCCTTTCACTGAAACCCTTAAAAGTATGAAAATAAGAAGTTAAGGGGAAAGACTTGTGCATTCCCTTCCATCTTCATATTGCCCATAACATTATCTTTGATGCATTCCAACACTCCATAAGGCTTTCATGTCCATCTCCAATACATAACAAAAAGCAATACAACTTCATTAAACTTACACTCTCTAGCACAAAACCTTAAGCGAGTGACCTTATATGCTTTTATATCAATAGATCAGCAGTTTGACTGTCATGCTTTCCATGTGTTTGGAAAGTTATTCTGCCTTAACACTGTTGAGGTCACTAATACTACTATCACTGTAGTTTTTGTTTACTAATTTCCTAGTTTTTTTTATAGTTTTGATGTACAACAGTGGATAGCTTCCTACAGTCAGGGAGAAATGGAGCAGAATGTGCCTGGGAATCAGAGGGAGAAACTGTGTTGCTGAAACTGCTCCTGCCTACGCTGATCCTCTGAAACCTCCTAAAGAGTGTGAGAGACTGTGGTGTACATCAGAAAATTATTTGTTTTATCCCCATATAGAATATGGGGATAAATATTCTATCCTCATTTAAAAGTTACTGAAAGTAAGTACACCTTGAGAAACCCTCCATGTTTAGAACTGATTACATAATCTATCAGCTGGAAGCCTGCCCTGAGGTGACAAGGGGAACCGCAGCCTGCCCTGCTCTGACAGTGGGAGCCGCAGCCTCATGGGATGCTTTAGGGCCCTTCACTAGTCCCATGCAGGGCTCTCTTAGCAACTCCGAAACGTCAGACATCTGTTGCATGTTTTTTTCCCCCCAAGAACTTAAAAACATTATCAGCAAGAAACAGCTTATATGAGAAATGGATCGTTTTGTGACAAAGGGAGAAAAGCTTACAACACAAGCCAAAGCGAGGGCATAAGTGGAAGTTCCAGCAAAATGCAGAAGACAAAAATATGATAAAGCTTATTTCAAACTGGGCTTTACATGGAGCTGGTCCAGCGATGCACCAAGGTCTCAAGGTGTTGTAGGGTAACCAGATGTCCCGATTTTATAAGGACAGTCCCAATTTTGGGTTTTTTCTTATATAGGCTCCTATTACCTCCCACCCCGTCCTGATTTTTCACATTTGCTGTCTGGTCACCCTAAGATGTTGTATGTGGTGAAGTACTGGTAAATGACAATATGTGGCCCTGCAAGCTATGCCAGCATCTCGTTAACAGGACAAAAAAAAAGTTGTTGAATTCTACCGCTCTGTTAATATGCATGCTACTGAGGCGTCTTACCATGTGGCTTTGTGCATTGCCTGAGCTGGTAAGCTGCACAACATAGGTGAGAAACTACTACTTCCAGCTGCAAAGGATATGTGTGGTGATGATGGAAGAGAAAGCAGCATCACAGCTAGACGTAATCCCACTTTCTAATGACACAGTTTCACACCATATTGCAGAGATGGCCACTGATATAAAAGAACAGCTCCTAAAAAGTGTTTGTCAGAGCCCATATTATTCAATTCAGATAGATGAGTCTACCGATATATCAAATGCTGCATAGCTACTCATGTATATTCGTTTTGCTACAGCAACAGAATTAAAAGAGGAATTTCTGTTTTGCCATCCACTTCCAACATGAGCAACTGGTGACGAGCTTTTTAAACTATTAAATAATTTTGTCCAAGACACAGGCCTTGATCGGGGACGTTGTTTTGGAATTTGCAGCGATGGAGCATCGTCTAGGACAGGATGGTATAGTGGACTTGTGACAAGGGTACAAGAAGTGTCCCCTACAGCAACCTGGAATCATTGTACGATCCACAGACAAGCACTGGCTTCTAAGAAGATGGCAGAGGAGCTCAGCAATGTTCTCTCAGTTGCAATAAAAATTATAAACTTTATAAAGTTGTGCCCGGTTAATTCAAGGGTTTTGCCATTTTATGCGAAGAGATGGGGGAAAACTTCACACAGTTGTTGTTACGTGCAGATGTTCATTGGCTGTCCAGGGGCAAGATGCTGACAAGACTATGTGAACTGCATGAGGAAGTCCATATTTTTCTTGCTGATAATAATTCTCTGCTTGTACAGCATTTCAGTGACACTTGGATATCCTTGTTGTCATATCTAGCTGACATATTTGAGCGACTGAATTTACTGAATGTGTCACTTCAGGGACGAGATGCAAATGTTTTCATCATTAATGATCGAATAGCAGCATTCATTAACAAACGTGAACTGTGGCCTTCAAGTGTGCTGCAGGGATCTGTGTCCATCTTTTCAATACTGGAGGATGTTATGGAACAATGCAGTGATCTGTCAGTTTACAGTATTCAGGACGTAATTATTCAGCACTTAGGGAGTCTGCAGGAGCAGTTTTGTGAATACTTTCCTGAAGTGGGTAAAGACAAATGTAATCAATGGATCAGGAACCCATTCAGCTTTAAGCCGAACCCCACAGAAGAAGAGGAAAGCCTTATTGAGCCTGTCAAGCTCCAAGGAACTGCAGCACAATTTTTCACAAATGCCAGTTGCAGACTTTTGGTTATTGGTGGTTATCTAAGTTTCATGAATTAATATACTGGGTACCTAAAGCCCTTATTCCTTTTTTATCCACATACCTATGCCAGTCAGGCTTCTCAGTATTAACTGCAATCAAAACAAAGTATGGCTCCCGGCTTTCTGTTGAAGATGACTTACGGTATGTCTCTTCCTTTCTACACTGCAACCCTGAATTCCACTACTTTGTACAGCAAGGAAACAAACACACCCCTCCCACTGATAAGATAGGACTGATTTGATATTATACTGAATTAATATATCATTGTTTGGTGTCATGTTTCTAAAATGTTTGCAAAGTTTTATTTTAGCTGCTTCCATTTGTACTGTTTTTGAACTTAAAATTAATACTTCTGAAACTCATACTGATCTAATTGATCAAATCTTTACTTTTTTATTAATTTTTTGCAACATATAGGATTTTTATTCCCTTCCCCCATAGTTCAAACTGATGGGATAAGTGTTTGCACCTATCTCCTCTTCATGGGGGGGTGTGGGACAATCAACAAAATCTTTGTACTTTGATGTTTTACAATGGCTCATTTGGTTTCAATGGGCCTTCTTGTGTGCGGGACCAGCATGTTACATTAATTAAAGCTTCTTTCCTGTTTGGTGAGTTACACAATTACTGAGCTTTACAATGCAAACACTCCATATAACTGTATACCATGGGATACAGATGTTATAAGTAAGATCAATGCATGCAGCATCCTACCAGCATTTCATCAAGTCTAAACATTAAACACATTCTTGTAAACTTAACATCTATTGTAACAATGCTAATACACAGGTGAGCCAGACTGGTTTCCAGCTACGCATCTGTCATTGTTCCATGAGGCCTAGGGGCCTTGGCATAAGCTGGCACCTGGTCTCCCAGCATCAGAAGTGAAAAATGTCAGGGGAAATCATAATAATAGGATCTCACTCAAACCAAACTAGAACGGTAATACTTGTTCTTTTAAATTATCTACCATGCAAGGATCACAATGCATTTCATACACAAATTATGTGGGAAGATTCATACAGTTTAAGGCCAGAAGGGACCATTAGTCAGAGGTCATTAATTTTCACCCTGTTACCACTACATTGAGACCAGTAACATGCATTTAATAAAGCATAACGTGTTTGGTGAAAGCACATCTTCCAGAAAGTTATCCAGTCTTAATTTGAACACAACAGGAGATGGAGATTACCATTTACCTTGGTAATTTATTCCAATAGATAATTACTCTCACTGTTAAAATTTTTTGTCTAACTTCTAATTTGAATTTCTCTGGCTTCAACTTTTAGCCACTGGTTCTTGTTATGCCTTTCTCCACTACATTAAATAACGCTTTAGTGCTGGATATTTTGTCACTATGAAAGTACTTACACGCAGTAATCATGTCACCTCTCAATCTTCTTTTTGATAAGCTAAACATATTGAGCTCCTTAAGTCTCTCACTGTAAACCATTTTCTTCAGCCATTGAATAATTTTTGTGGCTCTTTTCTTCACCTTTTCCAGTTTCTAATCATCCTTTTTAAAATGTGAACACCAGAACTGTACACAGTACGCAAATAACAGTTTCACCAATACCATATACAGAGGTAAAATCACCTCTCTGCTCATACTCCCTACTCCCATCTTTACGTAACCAAGGATCACATTAGCCCTTTTTGCCACAGAATTCACTTGGACTCCCAAATTCTTTTCAGAGTCACTATTTTCCAGGATACACTCCCCCATTCTGCAAGAACGGCCTGCATTCTTTGTTCCTAGTTGTATAACTTTGCATTGGGTTGTATTAAAATGCATTTTCTTTGAGGCTTTGTTTAAGAAGCAATCCAGATCACACTGTATGACTGCCCGGTCCTCCTTATTTACCTCTCTGACAGCCAGTCTTCGTGTCATACACAAATTTTATCAGCTGTGATTTTATATTTACTTCCCGAACATTGATGAAAATGTTGAATAGTTTTGGGCCTCATACTGATCCCTGTAGACCCCCACCAGAAACACCCCTATTTAATGATGATTCCCCATTGATAACTACTTTTTGAGACCTGTCAGCTAGCCAGTTCTTAATCCATTTAACATGTGCTCTATTGATATTGCATAGTACTAATTTTTTAATCAGGCTGTAGTATGGTACTCAGCCAAACACCTTATAGCAGTTTAAATATATTAGATCTATGCAGTTACCTTTTTCAGCCAAACTTGTAATCTCATCAAAAAATTAAATCAGATTGTTTAACTAAACCTATTTTCCACAAAACCATCTTGACTGGCATTAATTATATTCCTATCCTTTAACTCTTTACCAATTGAATCCTATAATCAGCTTATCCAGTATTTTGCCCAGGACTGATTTCAGGCTAGCCTGCCCAGGTCATCCCGCTTGCCCTTTTGAATAGTGGAATAATATTAACACGCTTCCATTCTTCTAGAATTTCCCTAGTGTTCCAAGATTTATTAAAATTAACACCACCAGGCCACAGATCTCCTCAGCCAACTCTTTTAGGACTCTTGGTGAAAGTTATCCAGGTCTGCTGAATTAAAAATGTTTATCCTTACTAGATGTTGTCTAACATCCTACTCTGTACTAATGAGCTGGAAAGTACTTCATCATTCTCCTATGATATGAGTACATCATCCCGCTGCTTTCCAAATATAGAAAATAAATGTTTACTAAACACTTCTGTCTTTCTGGTATCGTTATTAACAAATTTACCATCTCTATCTAGTAATGGGCCTACGCTATTCCAAATCTTTATCTTCACATGAGGCGCTCATGCCTTAATTCAGGGGTCAGCAATCTTTCAGAAGTGGTGTGCCGAGTCTTCATTTATTCACTCTAATTTAAGGTTTCGCATGCCAGTAATACATTTTAATGTTTTTAGAAGGTCTCTTTCTATAAGTCTATAATATATAACTAAACTATTGTTGTATGTAAAGTAAATAAGGTTATTAAAATGTTTAAGAAGCTTCATGTAAAATTAATTTAAAATGCAGAGCCCCCTGGACTGGTGGTCAAGACCCAGACAGTATGAGTGCCACTGAAAATCAGCTTGTGTGCCGCCTTCGGCATGCGTGCCATAGGTTGCCTATCCCTGCCTTAACTGGTTCAGTGATTAATGAAGAATACTTGTTCCCAAGCAATGCAATAGGTCTAGAGAGGGCAGATGGGAACTCTACTCTTTCTCAACTTTGTTATTTTTACATACTATACATAATAGAATACTATTATTGTATAGCATCAAGAGTGTGCTAAGTGCTTAACAACAGACATAGAAAGGCATCCGCAGCCCCAGAAGAGCTACAATCTAAATTTCCAATATGATCAAACAAATGAGGATGTCAAATAGTAGAGAGGGAACAGAGCATGGAAGGTGGAGAGCAACAGCAATTTAGTTATATGCACATCCTCGCAATTCATTTACAATTATATTTTTCTTTTTTCCTCTCTCTCTCTCTCTCTCTCTCTCTCTCTCTCTGTTTTAAAGGGGTTTCTTATTGCCTTTTATTTGCTTACTTGCCACTCTCTCTGGCTTAGGACAATTTGACTGAAAAGGGAAATATAGTAAAAGAAATAATCAATTCCAGCAATGTGGGTTTCCTTCCTTCCACTGTTGTTTTTGTTGAGGAGGATGGTGTCATCATATTCCTTCTCAAAAGCTCAGGCAAATTTCAGGTCTTGGAAATCAAATCTGATGACAAGAACTAATGACAGTGTAGAGTAGCTACTACTGGGCCCAGCAAGACTCTGGAGCACAGGAGGTAGATAGTACTGGACCCCCAGAGAGGAGGCTCTGAAGTGCAAACTCAGCAGTGTTGGGCCTGGATTGGGCCCCTCCATACAGTTAGAACAAGGGTAGTTTTCCATTTTCTTTTGCTTCAGAAAATTATGCCGTCTCAGCCCTTCTTATTCTTGTACATCACAGACATTTTTTTCATTCATAGGCTATATCTTAGAGAGGAAAAAGAAGAAGAGCTACCGGTGGATGCGGCTGAACTTTGACCTTTTGAAGGAGCTGTCATATGAAGCCAAGCGAATGATTGAAGGTGTTGTTTATGAGATGCGGCTTTATGCTGTGAATTCCATTGGCATGTCCCGGCCTAGCCCCGCCTCACAGCCCTTCATGCCAATTGGTGAGTTTCATCAAAATGGTACATTATCTCTATGACTTCAAAGAAACAGATAAATGAACTTTCACCTTCTCATTCCACCTCTCTAAAAAGAAAAAACGATTACTTTTTTGAGACAGCTAACTAGTCATTTGATATTTTCTCTCCATTCCATACTTCTCACCCTTTTTTCTTTATAGAGACAATGTGGGTGAGGTAATATCTTTTATTGGGCCAACTTCTATTGGTGAGAGAGAGACAAGTTTTCAAGCTTACACAGAGCTCTTCTTCAGGTCAAACCTTTTTTCTTTGTAATTTTTCTCTTCTCTTTCTCCCATTTCCCTTCCCTGGGAAGCACAGAGGTTCTAGTTTCGTGAAATTGCTGATGAATTTCTAGCTGTTATAATTAGAAGTGTGAGAGCCAAGGCCAGGTCTGGAGAGGAGAGGGAACTAATTAATAGCATTTTCCCAGCCCCTCTCAGCTTCCCTTATGGGTGCAAATATCATAGTATCCCACCTCCTTTAATCCTAGCCCCCTCCAGAGCTACAAGGCTAGTTGATTAAGAAAATATCCAAGGAATTATTTTCTATAAATAATTCCTCTCAACCCAGCAATACAGTGTCTACAGCAGTCCCTGAGCTGGGAGCAAACTGTGAGAGTCTCCAGGAAGCCAGCCATCTGAGGGCTTTAGAAACAGCAGTAACAAAAATACCAATAGCTGGAGTCTGAAATGACTAAAGTAGCCCAATCTGCAGACAGTAGCCAGGGGGAACAGTCTTCTGAAGGAGACAGTGTGAAAGCAAAAGACCATTGCAAGGGGCCAGGAGGGAAGGATGAACTGCAAGAGGGGTCTGTTAAATCTGGACTTCAATCACCCAACAGTTGGGCTACGGAGACAGAAGGGAAGCAACAAGAACCATCAAGAGGAGCTACTGAACAAAAAGGTCCAAATTTTTCATGGAACAGGCAGAGATTTACTAGATTAGGGATAAAGCCTGAGCCCAGTGCTTCAGAGAATAGTATTTGGGTTTGCAGTATGTATTGTATGGTCATATGTGCTGCTAATTACCTTTTCCTCCTGTGTATGCTGCCCAATCTTTATCTCATTTTGAAAATGAAGGCTGTTGATGTAATGCAGAAACAGCAAGGAACTGGTTAAAATCTGATTTTTTTAATAGCACCATGAGCCACAATGCTAATAATATAATCTACATTTATTAAACAACGTATTAAACTGTACTGATCTTACAGTATAATTGAAATATTTAAAACAATATTTAAAATGTTCAAAATATTCCAGAGCTGTTCAGTTTATGATACATACTTGGTTTGGGAAAAATAATTTATTTAAAATATGTTCTGCCATACCATATTACTTAAGTGGTATGAGAATGAGCCACTGTATTAATACTTTGGTACACAGTTTACATCCTCTCACATGTATTAGGTTCTCTGCAGTCCTTTTATGAAATGTGTCCCAAATAGAGTATCTTTTTCACTAGGGATATAAAATGCTAGAAATACACAATTCTGCAATTCCAACCTTCAAGTAACTCCTCAGAGCATGTGCCCTGGGGATATCCTACTTAAATATCTATCTGGATGAAGCAGGGGTCGGATAACAACAGCTGGAAAAATTCTCAATACAGTATTTTGGTCATGCAATATGTGACTTTAAGCAAGTTCACTTTCAGCTCACATTTTTGAACTATGGGTTTGGTACTGGTACCCAAATCTAAGTTTTGTTTTCCTGAGGCCTATTCATGTCTCAGAACTCTTTAGCAAGACTTTTCTTTGTTTTTTTTCAAACTAGTAGAAAAGAAGTACACCCAAAGATAAGATGAGATGCTAGGACTGTATTTAACTGCTGTTCTTGCTGAGCTATGAAGTGCAGAAGATTCACAAGGCAAGAAGCCCCTGTTCTGAGGGGGAATGCTGATAAATGTAGCAGAAGTGAAACCACTTGACACCAAAATGTTTTTTCCTCATGTTTCTGTTTCTATTGCACAGACCAGATCTAGTTGCACTTGTAAATAAATATGGATACTATAGGCCATTTTCACCACTGGGGTAAGCCAACAAACCACCACTGAAGTAAAATGTGTTACACCAATTTATGCCATTGATGAATTTGGCCCTGTCTATGTGAATTTTGCCTGGTAATAGTCAAGTCATAAGTGCAGTATACAAATTGTACAGATATTGTTTTTTCCCGTTCCCCTGCTCTCCTCAGCTGAAAAGCTGATTCATTTCTCCAGAGCTCTAGTCTCTTCATCAGCTTTTATCTATAAAGGATCTTATGCACAGCAACTGCTATCTATCTAGACTTCCTATGTTTCTGTACAAGTATCTTGTATTCCTCCCAGTCCTGGTTTTAGTCACTGATTCTTCCATCAAGTGGAATGATAGAGGTTAAATTTTAGAGCTAGGTTTTGATATGAGTCTATATCATTTTCCCCGCCCCCCCCCCTTAGTAAGATAATTCATACACTGATCACTCCCTGTACATCTACCATGTTCTCTCACTTATACTCCTATATTTCAGGATTTTACTTTCTACTTATTTTCTTTTAGCTCCCCCAAGTGAACCAACCCACTTGACAGTGGAAGACATCTCTGACAGCACTGTTACCCTGAAGTGGAGACCCCCTGAGCGGATTGGAGCAGGGGGACTAGATGGCTACAATGTGGAGTACTGCAAAGAAGGATGTGAGTAAGCCCTAGAACACCTCTACCCCGACATAACACGGTAAAGCAGTGCTCCGGGGGGGCGGGGCTGGGCTGCAGACTCTGGCGGATCAAAGCAAGTTCGATATAACGCGGTTTCACCTATAACGTGGTAAGATTTTTTGGCTCCCGAGGACAGCGTTATATCAAAGTAGAGGTGTACCACAGTATCGATTGAGCATTCTCAGTCAGAACAGAATAACGAAAATATCACCATAACTACTACAGCTTCACAACAGCAGCACTACAAATAAGTACATCCAGCATCATTACATTAAAGCTTACCACTAACAATGGTGGACGTGATCCTAATATAATTATCAAGCATTGCCACATTTACTTCAGCATTCTCATAGTACCATGATATAATCATATCAAGCATAACATTGTTGTCACACCATCATCTTCACAATAATCATCACAAACGGTACTTGCAGTTAACCACAGTATTGCAAAAAGACTCAGTGCATCACTGCAATCACCATCTTAGCATTTCTGCAGCATCCAATGCAAGTCAAACAACCCATATCATCTCTACAGACAACACATTAGCAATGTCTTTTTGTTCTATGTATGTACAACAACCAGCACAATGGGGTCCTGGTCCTTGACTATGGCTCCTATGTGCTACAGAAATACTAATAAAATAAATACCATATCACCACGAGGCCTGGTCTACACTAAAACTTAGGCTGACCTAGCTCCATTGCTCAGGACTGTAAAAAATGTTGGACCCGCAGCACCATAGTTAGGTCAACCTGCCCCCCCACCCTCCCCATGTAGATATGCCTAGGCCAAAAGAAGGATTCTTCCATCGACCTAGCTACTGCTTCTTGGAGAGGTGGATTATCTTCTTCCACAGAAAAACTGTTTCTGTCAATGTAGGAAGTATTTGCACTAGGGCTGTCAATTAATCGCAGTTAACTCACACGATTAACTCAAAAAAATAATCACAATTAAAAAAAATTAATCATAATTAATCACAGTTTTAATCGCATTGTTAAACAATAGAACACTGATTGAAATGTATTAAGTATTTTTGAATGTTTTTCTATATTTTCAAATATATTGATTTCAATTACAACACAGAATACAAACTGTATAGTGCTCACTTTATATTATTTTTTATTACAAATATTGGCCCTGTAAACATGATAAACAAAGGAAATAGTATTTTTCAATTCATGTCATACAAGTACTGTAGTGCAATCTCTTTATCGTAAAAGTGAAACTTGCAAATGTAGGGTTTTTTTGTTACATGACTGCACTCAAAAAAAAAAACAGTGTAAAACTTTAGAGCCGACAAGTCCACTCAGTCCTACTTCTTGTTCAGCCAATCACTAAGACAAACAAGTTTGTTTACATTTATGGGAGATAATGCTGCCGGCTTCTTGTTTACAATGTAACCTAAAAGTGAGAACAGGTGTTTGTATGGCACTTTTGTAGCTGGCATTGCAAGGTATTTATGCGCCAGATATGCTAAATATTTGTATGCCCCTTCATGCTTCCATGCCGATGACATACGTTAAAAAAAATAATGCGTCAATTAAATTTGTGATTGAACTCCTTGGGGGAGAACTGTATGTCCCCTGCTCTATTTAACTCACATTCTGCCATATATTTCATGTTATAGCAGTCTCGGATGATGACCCTGCACACATTGTTCGTTTTAAGAACACTTTCACTGCAGCTTTGACAAAACACAAAGAAAGTACCAATGTGAGATTTCTAAAGATAGCTACAGCACTCGACTCAAGGTTTAAGAATCTGAAGTGCCGTCCAAAATTTGAGAGGGACAAGGTGTAGAGCATGCTTTCAGAAGTCTTAAAAGAGCAACATTCCGATGTGGAAACTGCAGAACCCGAACCACCAAAAAGAAAAATCAACCTTCTGCTAGTGGTATCTGACTCGGATAATGAAAATGAACATGCTATGAATGGTCCGCACTGCTTTGGGTAGTTATAGAGCAGAACCTGTCATCAGCATGGACGCATGTCCTCTGGAATGCTGACTGAAACATGAAAGAGACATAGGACATCTGGCACGTAAATATCTGCAAGTTGGTGACAACAGTGCCATGCAAACACCTGTTCTCACTTTCAGGTGACATTGTAAAACAAGAAGGGGCAGCATTATCTCTTGCAAATGTAAACAAACTTGTTTGTCTGAGTGATTGGTTGAACAAGAAGTAGGACTGAGTGGACTGGTAGGCTCTAAAGTTTTACAATGTTTTATTTTTGAATGCAGTTTTTTGGGTACATAATTCTACGTGTGTATGTTCAGCTTTCATGGTAAAGAGACTGCACTACAGTATTTGTGTTAGGTGAATTGAAAAATACGATTTCTTTTGTTTTTTATAGTGCAAATATTTGTAATAAAAAACAAATATAAAGTGAGCACTGTACACTTTGTATTCTGTGTTGTAATTGAAATCAATATATTTGAAAATGTAGAAACCATCAAAAATATTTAAATAAATGATATTCTATTATGTAACTGCATGATTAATTGCAATTTTTTTGGCAATTGCAATTTTCTTGACAGCCCTAATTTACATTACAGCACTATAATGGTGTAACTGCAGCGCCACAGCTATGCCACTGTAGTGTTTCTAGAATAGACATACCCTTAATCAAATACCACAGTTACCCTAATCTTACTTGATACCACATGTCTATGGTTATCAAAGTATTACTGCAGCAAGTCTAGAATCCTCATGTTCGTGGTATCTTCACAACATCACCATTATCATGTCATCAAATCAACTACTGCAGCAGCATCATAATCATAATCACCACAATCATTATAGCATCAACATGGAATAATGGAATATAGAATCTTCTCTGTTACCAGTCACCATTGACAAAGCAGCTGTATCTCCTAGGGTCACTGCAGTACCACGTTACTATGGTGATGCCATGTAATCTGTATTAGGTTTTTCTAAAGTGTCTTATCGCCCTAGTATCTATCACTAATGATAATCACTGCAGAGTTACCAGAATCACTGTTACATCATCACAGCCTGACAACAGTGCTCTTAGCATCATGACTTCTATGCTGTTAGTATTACTGAAGAAGAACTAGAAATTCTGTCCTACTGCCAACAACTTGTAAAAATGCAGAAAAAAAATGGTGATAAATTCCATTATTTGCACTATTGTTGTTAGAAGCATGTTTCTGTCACCATAGTATCTGAGTACCATATACATAGTTAAGGGACATAACAATTTCAGGAAAGAATTAACTTAACTCACTGCCTCCCTGTTAGAGCCACTCCCTTCCACTTTTATGAAATCAGTTGCAAAGAAAGCCCTCAACAGTCATCACTAAACTTCCTGAAGACACAGTCCTAAAAAACTAGAGGGGACTTTAATTTAGAAAGTTTGTATTATTTTAAAACAGAAACCCTTTACTTGCAGCTACGGAGTGGGTTCCAGCTCTTCAGGGTCTAACTGAGAGAACATCTGCACTCATTAAAGATCTGGTCACTGGGGACAAACTCTACTTCCGTGTCAGGGCTATAAACCTGGCTGGTGAGAGCGAACCAGCACTAACCAAAGAGCCTGTTACCATCCAAGAGATCCTGCGTGAGTATCTGGAGTGAACAAGTATCATTTATCTATTTCCTTTAGGACAATTCTAATAATGTCCTTTAATGGAAATTATGCAGTGTTGTTGTAGCCATGTCGGTCCCAGGATGTTAGAGAGACAAGGTGGGTGAGGTAATATATTTTATTGGACCAATTTCTGTTGGTGAGAGAGACAAGCTTTCCAGCTACACAGAGCTCTTCCTTAGGTCTGGGAAAGGTACTTAGAGCGTCACAGCTAAATACAAGGTTGAAGAGATAGAATGTGTGCTAACTACTCATGCTAAACTAAGGGACCCTCAGGGTGAAATGGCCCGTTAACATCCCGGTAGTAATAGGACAAAAAGGGGGGTTAGTGGGTTAACAGATTGTTGTAATAAGCCATAAATCCAGTGTCTTTATTAAGACCATGATTTTTTAGTGTTTAGCAAAGTTAGGAATTTAAGCTCCTAGGTTTGTCTTTTGAAAGCATGCATGTTTTCTTTGAGGATGGGGACTGATAGGTCAGATAGAGAGTGATCACTTTGTGGATAGTGTTCACCCACAGTTAATACAGTGTTTTTGTCTTTTATACTTTTCCTGTGTGACTTCATTCGAGAACATAGTGATTGTCTGGTTTCAACCACATAGTTGTTATTGGGACATTTAGTGCACTGGATGAGGTAAACCACATGTTGTGGTAGGCATTTATACGACCAGTGGATCTTAAAAGGTGCGTTGTGAGGGGTGTTGATCATTGTAGCAGTGGAGCTAAGTCCACAGGTTTTGCTTTTGTTGTTCTGGCAGGATCTGGTGCTACTTTGAGTTCGTGTGTCCTGGTCTATGGGGAGCCTGGTTCTGATGACGAGCCTGGTCTTCAAACAACCCTCCAACCTCTCTGGGTGAAATGAGACAATCACTATGCTCTCAAATGAACTTACAGAGGAAGAGGATAGAAGACAAAAACACCATGTCACTGTGGGTGAACACTTTTCACAAAGTGATCACTCTACATCTGACCTATTACTCCCATCCTCAAAGGAAACCTGCACAACACTTTCAAAAGATGAGCCTGGGAGCTTAAATTCCTAACGTTGCTAGACACTATGGCCAGGTCTATGCTACACACTTACTTCAATATAACTATGTCATTCAGCAGTGTGAAAAATCCACACTCCTAAGCAATGTAATTATACCAACCTTAACCCCCAATGCAGACAGTCCTATGACCGCAGGAGAGCTTTTCCCACCGACATAGCTACCATCTCTCGTGGAGGTGGAGTTATTAAGCAAAGAGGAGAGCTCTCTCCCATCAGCTTAGAGCATCGTCACCAAACAGTGCAGCCACACCAATGCAAGTTTGTAGTGTAGACCTTCCCTAAAAATCATGGTCTTAATCAAGACACTGAATATATGGTTTATTACAACAATCTATAATCCACTAAACCTCCTTTTTGTCCTATGATACAGAGGTGTTAATAGGCTACTTCACCTTGAAAGGTCTCTTAGTTTAGCATAACTAGTTAGCACATATTCTATCTGTTGGCCTTGTATTTAGCTGTGACACTGTGAGTACTTTCCCCAGACCTGAGGAAGAGCTCTGTGTAGTTTGAAAGCTTGTCTCTCTTAAGGGAGAGGAAATTCTGGGATTGGTAGGGTAAACACTTTCTTTAGAGTGAGGACAGAGCGCAGGCATTCTCTCGCTTGAGTATAACTCTGCCTATATTCTAATACTAGACTGTTCTCTCAAGTTGGTTCTGAACTATTAATTTGTTGATTCTGGAAACGTACAAGAGAGGTAACAGGATCTGGACCATAGTCAGTATATTTTTATTCATATTTTAGTTTTTAAAATGTTTACATTCTGCGTCCTGAAATGGTTGTCGCAAAGTCTGACTAAGGGGCGCTTTATTTATTTAATTATTTATTTATAAGAGTATTCTGGAAATAGATTGGTATGTTAATGCCAAACATTCACACTCCTGCAAACTGAGGCCAAGGACTCTCTGGATAAAAGCTGTTATCTGCACTTGCATGTCCTACTTCGTTAGTTACCATCCTATCCACCACTCAATAGCAATAGGTTCTAATTCATTTGACTGCAGTCCAAACGATATTAAGAGCTGTTAACTGAAGATTCCTCACTCTTAACTCACACAAGATGCCTACCAGAGTCCCACTAACAATAAAATGACCTAGTGTAATGAACTAGAATTACAAAGCATCCAAAAACCAGACAGATATGAGAACAAGTACTCCAAATCCAGGCTTACAAATTCATTCTATAGATAACGGATATGGATGAGGGAAGGAGAAAAGGTAAGACAGAGTCTGCAAGAAAAGCTTAAATGAGCCCGGATTTGAAAAGACAGAATACACTTTGCAATAAGATTCCCACTTGTAAAGGAAAAGTAAGATGCCACAGATTACTCCCTTGATGCTGAGTACTGAAGTGCCACTCCTTCCACCGCTGGTCACAGAGGTGGTGTTGAGCGAATCCACAACAGCGATGCAAACCCAGTGACTGATGTAGTGTTGGGTGGAGGATTGGAGGATCTGTGCAGCAGCAGTTTCCCAGTCCCTCAGCCAAGCCTGCCCATGCCCTGCCCCCTTGTTGCTATGTAGATGAGTACCCAGTGGAGCTGAGCGCCACAAAGAGGTGCATATACTATACAGAAATCTCCAGAATCTTCCTTCGTGCAGTGGAACTGCAGTAGTCCTGCTAGCAATTGATCCCGCGGAACTGCAGAAACAAGGGCAAGAGTTGCTGTTACAGATGACTATGTATAGGAAATTATCAATTTCCCCAATAGTATAAGTAGCCTTCACTCTGATTTTCTCATGCTCACAAGCACTTTGTATTGATTCCCAGTGTTAGGTATAAATTCTGTCTCCTTTGGTGTTTTTCCTTCATTTTCCTAACATTTCAAATAAAGACAGATGTCATATTTTGGTTATCGACAGAACGTCCCAAATTCTGGCTGCCACGCTATCTACGGCAGACTCTGGTGAAGAAAGTAGGAGAGACAATCAATATTGTGATTCCCTTCCAGGTATGTGATTGATTCAGTTTTGACGCGGTTCTCTTTAGTTGCTTATCTAACAGATTATTTTTTCCTTACCCAAGCTCCCCTGCTGGCTGGCCACGGATTCCTAAAATGATGGGCTCATGTGACCTTTAACCTAGAATCAAATGTGACAGTAGTCTTATATGGTTGGATAGTTTACAGTAAATAAAGCTGAGATATGCAGCAAGTTAGGCCAGTCCTCACACTAGGTCAAATTCAGTTTGTTCACCCAACAGTTCTGAAGAAACTCAAATGTGAAATTGCAGAACTACTAACTGTAGTCTGTAACCTATCATTTAAATCAGCTTCTGTACCATATGACTGGATGATAGTTAATGTGACGCCAATTTTTAAAAAGGACTCCAGAGGTGACCCCAACAATTACAGGCCTGTAAGCCTGACTTCAGTACCGGGCAAACTGGTTGAAACTATAATAAAGAACAATATTGTTAGACATATAGATTAACATAATTTGTTGAAGAAGAGTCAACATGGTTCTAGTAAAGGGAAATCATGCCTCACCAATTGACTAGAATTCTTTGAGGGGGTCAACAAGCATGTGGACCAAGGGGATGCAGTGGATATAGTGTACTTAGATTTTCAGAAAGCCTTGGACAAGGTCCCTCACCAAAGCCCCTTATGCAAAGTAAGCTGCCACGGGATAAGAGGGAAGGTGCTCTCATGGATTGGTAAATGGTTGTTTCCTATCTTTTAAAGGGTAGGTATAAATGGTCAGTTTTCAGAGTGGAGAGAAGTAAATAATGGTGTTCCCCAGGGGTCTGTTCTGGGACCAGTCTTATTCAACATATTCATAAGTGATCTGGAAACAGGGGTAAACAGTGAGGTGGCAAAATTTGCAGATGATACAAACTTACTAAAGATAGTTAAGACCCAGGCAGACTGTGAAGAGCTACAAAAGGATCTCTCAAAACTGGGTGATTGGGCAACAAAATGGCAGATGAAATTTAATGCTGATAAATGCAAAGTAATGCACATTGGAACGCATAATCCCAACTATACATATAAAATGATGGGATCTAAATTAGCTGTTACCACTCAAGAAAGAGATCTTGGAGTCATTGTGGATAGTTCTCTGAAAACATCCACTCAATGTGCAGCGGCAGTCAAAAAAGCAAACAGAATGCTGGGAATAATAAAGAAAGGGATAGCTAATAGGACACATTACCTCTGTATAAATACATGGTATGCCCACATCTTGAATACTGTGTGCAGATGTGGTCGCCCCATCTCAAAAAAAGATATATTTGAATTGGAAAAGGTTCAGAAAAGGGCAACAAAAATGATTAGGGGTATGGAACAGCTTCCGTATAAGGAGAGATGAATAAGACTGGGACTTTTCACTTTGGAAAAGAGATGGCTAAGGGGAGATATGACTGAGGTCTACAAAAATCATGACTGGTATAAAGTAGATAAGGAAGTGTTGTTTACTACTTCTCATAACACAAGAACTAGGGGTCACCAAATGAAATTAATAGTTAGCAGGTTTTAAACAAATAAAAGGAAGTATTTCTTCACACAATGCACAGTCAACCTGTGGAACTCCTTGCAGGAGAATGTTGTGAAGGCCAAGATCATAACAGGATTCAAAAAAGAACTAGATAAATTCATGGAGGATAGGTCCATCAATGGCTATTAGCCAGGATGGGCAGGAATGGTGTCCCTAGCTTCTGTTTGCCAGAAGCTGGGAATGAGCGACGGGGGATGGATCAGTTGATGATTACCTGTTCTGTTCATTCTCTCTGGGGCATCTGGCACTGGCCACTGTCGGAAGACAGGATACTGGGCTAGATGGACCCTGGTCTGACCCCATAGGGCCGTTCTTGTTTGTTTACAATAGTGTAAGTCTAGAGTACATCCACTGGAGTCAATGGATTTACTCCCAATTTATATCAGTGTAACTGAGCAAAATTTGGCCCTCTGTTCACAGATCAGATAGCAAGCAGTGAAAAGCAAGGAGGGGTCCAATGATTTAATGGAGAGAATCAAAATAGGGGGATGAGGTGGACGAGGCTTTCTTCTGGCAACTAGCAGAAGTTGCTAGATCGCAGGCCCTGGTTCTTTAATCACCCTATCTGCTGGGAGAGCAATACAGCGGTGCACAGACAATCCAGAAAGTTTTTGGAAAGTGTAGGGGACAATTTCCTGGTGCAAGTGCTGGAGGAACCAACTAGGGGCAGAGCTTTTCTTGACCTGCTGCTCACAAACAGGGAAGAATTAGTAGGGGAAGCAAAAGTGGATGGGAACCTGGGAGGCAGTGACCATGAGATGGTCGAGTTCAGGATCCTGACACAAGGAAGA